TTACTGTCTATGAGTTAGGAAATTCAGTTATCAAGTGCTTGAAATTATGTCAAGAATGGTAGCAAAGCTAAGTGTGGAGCTATTTCCTGGGGAAGGTCTAGAAAGCCAGCGTTGTTAAGGAGCAGAAATCACAAGAAACAAAGGAAACCGGTGTGTTATTTCCCCTCATCATTGAGGAATGCCACTCGGGGCTAGTTTCACGCGCTCTAAGACAGGCTCCGCGCCTTTTCTGGACACTCATTGTGAAAAGACCTTGAGCCACTTGGTTCTCTAAAACAGAGCCTGCTCAGTAAGTCAAATGCCTCGCCCAGTGCAACAGGAGCACCTTGAGTTATAATCTCACGTTGAGTTACCAACTACAGTCTCCTCTCCCGTGGCTCCAACAGGAAGCCTGCTGGGGAACGGGGCCGCCATTGCCTCTCTCTTAACTCCGCCTGACAGACATCCCCTTTGCCTCCCATGACTGAGAACTGCAATTTCAAGTTAGCCATTTACGATTTCTTTCTCAGCCCGCAGCCGTCAATTTTGAACTCTCCTGGCATCCTTCTCAGGAGATTTTTCTGCTGGACAAGTGACCTTTATCACAAGGTGTCAGGCAGCCCCTTTCATCTTCTCAAGTATGGCCCACAGGCCCACAGGACACACGTACCTTAGAACTCTAATCAGCACCAGAGTAGTTTCTTTCCCAGTTATAACCCTGAACTCTGCTGCAGCAGGTCCCTGCAGACAGCTTTTGACAATTGAGATTTGCCAGGTACAAGCCGTTGGTTCACTTTGCCCTTCCAGGGCAGGGGCCCAGAGCAAGTTCTGTGGTGGGTGGAAGCCCCCTCGCTAGTCTTGAGGGGAATAAGGCTCTTATTTCTTCCCCATGCTGTGGGCTGTGATGGGGAGTGGACACCGATCTTCCACTTTCCTAGCCACTTCATTTTCAAATGTCTTAGGTTTTCAGCGCATGCCTAAGGATTACACAGAAGGTTCTGCAACCCTCTTTGCATGCTCTGCATGGCTGCCTAGTACCTTGCTTGGGAATGTGAGACTGGTTATGGCTATAATCTTAAATCTACTAATAACATCAGCATTACTGGTTACATTTAGTAACATAATGGTCTAGACATGTGACTTACGCATGTGAAATGAAAGTGCCTTAAAATTAGAAAACCTTATTTTTTTTTAAAAATCATGGTTCATGT